AATCAAACAAGAACTTCTTTAAGCACACCCCACAAAGCGTACACAGATCCAATACAACCGCACGATTAGGCCCAATAAAATCAATCTAACGGTTAGCCTTAACCTAACCCATTTTCTGTGTGCACTTAGCAATTTACATTGACTGACCGTACTCCACCGTGGAGGAAAATATGAAACTCCACGCCTGAGCAATTAGGAAACTAATAATCACAGGTGCATCCTATTCTAGGAAACTAAATCAGAATGCATCCATTCTATTAGAAAACTAATCTCACACAAATCCATCCTATTAAAAAACTTATCTCGGACGCATCCATCCCATTAGGAAGCTAATCGCGAGCCGCCTGCCGCCATCATGCACGCTAGCCACGATGTGGGAAGCGCGAGGAGCTTCGTCTTTCTCCGGGAACACACGTGCTGTCGCCACCATCATCTTCTGTCTGGAGGCCAGGTGCTCTTCTGCCGCTACTGCGACGACTCCATCCACGTCCAGGGCATGCTCTACGGCAACCATCGGCAAACTTGAAGGCATACTGTTTAAGGCCTTATTTGCACCGCCTCTCTTTCTTTGTCTGCGCGCCTCTTTCCTCCAATAATATTAATGAATAACTTTTTCCGGATCAGGTATTACACTGTTACAAATGTACCTTTTTTATTTTTCTTCATAACTCATCAGTATCTGTACGTACAGATCGTCTTACAGCATTGTAAGTTAGTATGGTTGCCAACGCATAAACACATACAAAACCGGATGAATACTTTCTATCATGATAATTATTGAATTTCTTTTAGCCCTTTTACATTTTAATTAGTTCTTGTAAATCATCTTTATTTTATATAGAAGTCGTTGTAGTCACATATCATCTTCTATTTCCTATTATCCATAGTAGATAGCTATATAATTTTGGCAATCCACACAACCAAAAAATATATGTAATTTGATCCAAATTAGTACAAGTATATATTTTGCTATGCATATTAGTAGAATAAAATAAGATTCGAGAATTAAGCATCTTGAACAATATAGCTGCACCGTAAGGCAGTTTATACTTTTTTTTCCTGGCTACACTCGAAGAGAAAACTACACTACAAGCCTATATTACTGCATTAATAAATAATTGCTGATTTTATTTAAATGAGAATATTTTCCTGTGATTACTCTATGCAGCAACATAACCATTATTGTGTATCACTTTTAAAAATACAATTTGAGCGACATCAAACATTGTGTATCCATTTGATTTATATTTTTAAAAACATTAATTTTTTTATTATGTTAATCTCACTTGAATTACATTTGAGACGTGCGTTGCATGTGCATGCTTACTAGTAGAGATAAGTTAACGAGGTGTGAAGCAAACTGCAAATAAATTGTGCAACAAGTCAAAAAAAAAAAGAGTAGAAAGGAGCTAATCCTGAAGATATTCTTGCTAAATGAAGGGGCATCTGCCCAACTATGTTAAATTAAATTATAAACGAACTGACAGACACGTATACAGCAAATTCACTCTAGAGACCTGTGTTCCCCAAGTATGCTACAAGATACTCCAGATGTGTTCTTTGTTCATGTTTAGCTCTTTAGACCATGCAGCCAGAGCCGTGGTTGCATGCAAACGTTTCTATTATACACAATGGCCATACAAGAATCACAGAGAAGAATCACTTCCCCATCTAGACATGCAAAAACAAGTTCAGTACAAGTGCTGCTTGCTGGCCTGCTACCATCCCGGTGTAAGTCGGCTGATATCCAAGCTTGCAGTTTCAGAACAAGCTGAAACCCCCCGAATCCTCCTCCGCCTGCGCCTCTTCTGGCGTCTCACTGTATGTTGGCTCATATCCTTCGCGACTTCTGTAGTTATCTGCATACTCTGAGCCCTCTTCTGATACGTAAGACGAACTTCTGTAGTTATCTGCATACTCTGAGCCCTCTTCTGCTGCGTAAGATGATGATCGATACTCCTCTGGACGGACAAACTCAAGCATGTAGTTCAACCCGTTGATGACATCATAGACCATCAGTCCGATTCTTCCCCCAACCCAGCTGCCTAGCTGGCTTCCAACGAGATAGCCAAGCTTTCCCAGCCTCTCCTCGCCATGGAAACCACCCGCATAGGTTCCGAATAAGGTGCCCATGCCCCGGAGGAAACCTTCTGTCATGCTTCCGCCAAAGTACATTGCCTCGAAGAAGTCCCAGCCACAGGAAATTATCGGCCCCAATATCCTCTTCGCTTGACGAGCGGCCACCTTCGTCGCTTTTGCCCCGATCTTCTGAGCTTGCTTGGCTGCCTCAGCAGGACTCAGGCCTTCTGTCAAAGCATCAGCCAACGCTTTCTCAAGGGCTCGCTGCCGCACGGTTTCTATGTGTGCGCTTCGCAGGTTGTTTACATACAGCTTCACCCCCTCCTTCCCTGCGCATGCAAGGCTGCCCGACCCCATATCGAAACAGTTCATGAATGTGAACTGCCCACTCTTTGATGCAGCCTCCTTTCCGACAAGTTCCCTGCACTTCTCAGCTGCAAATTGCAAATTTTGATTAAGCTTAATTTACAAAGACATACATCCGGCTTACTTCTCCAAAATGAAATCATCAGATACTATCTAGGAGAAAATTTGGATGTCAAGAGCAATATCAATTCAATAGCATACCATGTTAAACTATCAATGTGCCTTATAATTCTTACAATACGGCCATTTTCTACAAGATCATGGCTTGCCCATATGTCAACTTAGCAACAGGGCAAGAGTTACCTTTCCAAAAGAATGTAAGACTCATAGATCCAGTGATTGAAAATTTAGTATGGAGATCTTTTATTTGTTAATTCTGAGAGGAAGACATCAGCATGAGCACATAGCAAAAACGCTAGTAGCCACACAAGATATATCAGCAGGAAAACTGGATGTCCACAGTACATGGTCATCCAAATCCCTGATACAATCCTTAGCTGCAAGTAAATGCACTACTTGTTACACTATTGTGGGATGAAATCAAATCAACATCACAGTTATCAAATGAAAGCAAAATAAAAGATGCTACTCCTGAGCTCCTTCACCAGCGCACAACTCTCCGACAGGTCCAGAGCATTGCTAGTCACAACATTTTTTAGCACAAGGGAATCGGTCTCCAGGGTGACTTTATCCATCCCATCGAAGAAACTTACATGATGAATTGCATCCATGGCTTCAGCCACCAATGCACTCCAAACATTTGCCAAGCCCCCAGTATGCGGGAATTTTCGAGTAAGCGAAACATGTGGGTAAATTGTGCATGTGAACACTCATGGTACCAGACAGAATCACTGTCCCAGTTAAATACAACGATATAACTGACAAAAAAATTGCTACTCCAAGTTCTTCGTCATAACAGTACGCGAGCATGCACCGCTGCCTTCAAGCCCTGAGACAGACAGACTGTTTGTTCATATATATAAAGTGTTTTCATGAATCAATCAGTATGAACTACCAACCATGCTAGACAGTGTTCAGTTGTTCTTATTTTTTGTTCAACTTAACCTTATGAGCAGAGGCTAATCACCATCTTATAAGCAGTTAAGCAATCAATCCTTAACAAGTTAGTACCGACTTCACTCGAAATCTATGGCTTTCTGAATTAAGGCACTCACACTTCAAATTCCACCGCCCACATCAACCCAGACCTACGAAGTATACCTCCAATTGACCGAGTCATTCGCTCTTCGTAGCAATTACCGTCGTCTAGAAACCCAAGATCAGACGCATCCCACTCGAAACCAGCCAAATGCGCACCCACTTCTTCTTCACTAGGAAACAACCCCCACCACCCAAAATCGCCGAATCAAAGGCCGAAAGGCGCCATAAACTACACGCGCAAGCGCGCGCAGTGATCCGCCGCTCTACGAAGAAGTATTCACCTGCTCGCTCGACGAACTGGTTAACAGTAATTGAAAAAAAAAAACGGAGGGCGGATCGGGGAGCATGCCTGTCATGCTGAGGGCGAGCACGCCGGCGACGAAGAGCAGAAGCTGGACGCGCCGCTTCTGGATGTCGAGCATCTTCGCGGCCTCCCACGCTCGGCTCGGCGGGCAGCAGACCAAGGATCTCTCCTCTCGTGGGAGGAGGAGGAGGAGGAAGTGGGGAAGAAACGAATAATAACGAGAGAAAAGAATGGCAGGTTCCTTGGGAAGAAAAGAGAGAGAGAAAAAAGAACGGCCGCAGGGGGTCCATTCGCCGCTGCCGCGTGGCGATACGCGTTACCCGGAAGGACGACACGGCGTTGGGTGGGTCCTCACGCCATGGGCCCAGTCGCCCGACTTGTTTGAATGGAATTCACAAAACTCTAGGTAGGTCGTCTAAATTGTACTAAAGCTGCGTCAGTGAATTTGAATTGACCGGAGTAGCAAAAGAATTATTTTGAGCTCGTATTTCAGAAGCCACTGTGTCAAAGACTTCTTTAAAATAACATGATTAGCAAAGTATTGAAATCTTTTATCTCCATCTGAACTTTTTGACACTACTCACACTTTTAAAACGACTTTACTTTTTATCTTATTTTGGTTTGTCACCGGCAAGTGAGCATAGTATAGATTAAATTAGGCCAATTATTAGGGCATAGTCAATGCATAGTCTTATGGTGATGCCCCACATATCATGTAGGATAAGATGTCAGAAAAAGTAGGTTTGGATAGGGAAGCAGAATCCTCCACAAGAGACAGGTGCTTGAGAAAAAAAGTGTGATCGAATGTAAAAAGCTAAGAAAGTTGAAATAAAAAATAGAGATGCATAGTATCATATATAACACTATGCTCCCTAGTTTTAAAAGTCAACATTCAATTGAGGTCTTCAATTAAAATTGGATCACTCAATTTTGATCGAGTCAACAATGTCTAACACTCTCTGGTTCAATGCTTTTATACTATATACTATAACACTATTCTCCCTAGTTTTAAACAGTCAACATTCAACTGAGGTCTTTAATTGAAGGGTCACCCGATTTTGAGCGAGTCGATAATTTCTCAACACTCTCATTTCAATTTTTGTATATTCTCTGTGACACTAGACTCCCTAATTTTGAAGAGCCAACATTAAATTGAGGTCTCCAATTTGACCCAATTTTGACAGTCAACAATTTGTCAACACTCTTTCATTCAATTCTTTTATACTATACACTATGCTTCCTAATTCCGAAGGCCACACAAATAGTTGAAGTCTACAATTTACAATTGGATAACTTGATTTTGATCGGGTTAACAATTTCTCAAGGAGCTTTTTCATTCAATTCTTTAAATTCACTATGTCCCCTGATTTTGAAATTCTTTCATTCAATTGAGGTATTAAATTTTGAATTTGGTTTATGAATTTGACCATGCCAACAACCTCCCAAATCAATAAGTAACAATAGGCGTACAAAAACATATCAATTCTGCGCACCCTTTCACCACCTTAAAAGAAGTGCCATCATGTGAGAGTGTAACACCAATATAGTACATTCTGCCGTCGATGTAGAAATTCCCTCACGTAAATATAGGTTAGTTAGCGGATAACACATAATCACACCACGAAAGGCCATCAAAATCACCACACTACATCGTCTCCCCCACCCGGCAAACTAAATATTCCATTAGTTCAAAATATAAGGGTTTCAATTTTTTGGAAAGTTGAATTCTAAGAAAGTTACCAAGTTTAGAGTGAAAAATATCGATATCCACAATATTAAACAAGAAAGTATGGAAATTCATTTCATGATGAATCTAATCATATCGATTTGATATATTTTCTACAAATTTGATCAAAGGTAAAAGGTTTGACTTTTTTAAAAAATAATACTATTTATATTTTGAAACAGAGTGGGTATTCTTTTAAGAAATATAAAAAGCGCAGCAAAGCGCCCCAATTCTTCTAGTATGTATTAAAGTTTCTATTTTCTATTTCTTAATGAGCCCCACTAGTAGTAGCTTATGTTGGAGAGAAATAAATCAATGTAGTTGCCTCAAGCTACTTTTTCTCATGAGACATCTATATCCATATGTCACCATTGTACATGCTCTTAGTCATCCAACTTAGCAATTGTGACAATGAGGGCTTCCAATTCCCCAGTTGAAGGTACTGAATCCGAATAGGTTAACCTTAGGAGAAAGAAAAGTATGATTGTATGTTCTGCCCTCTTAACGGAAAAGCAAAAAAAAAATTGTGATGGCTTTGAGTAGATGGTGGACATATGTAGCAAAGAGGCGGCTAGGGGAGCTTTGTAGGCCCACAGCGCACCCAGGGTCTAGGGCGTGTGGCCAAGGAGTGTGGGGCCCACAGCCCACCCGAGCCATATTCTAGCTCATGGGTATTTTCCCTCACAAAACCTTCATTTTTTTCGGCTCTGACAGCTTTCTGGCCCCCTTCAATGCAATCTTGCAAGAAGATAAAGATGAAATAGCCCCGTGAACATACATGGTAGATGAGCCTTCAACTTATTAAAATATGATGCAAAATGCACATATCAACACATCCATATTCGTGAAGCCACTCATCGAAGAGAATGGGATAGGTGGTGTGGCGGGCGGCCCAGGCTTCCCTAGCTATGAGTCCATAACACGATGTTGGCTCGACAACAGGTGGGATTCCACAAGCCTGGAGGACGGGCCCCTCAACCTTTGACTTCGACGAGGCCATCATGTTGGTGTCCGCCTCCTCCTCCTTGATGACACCAGCCATGTCATGAGCTTCGAGGTCAGCCGTATCTCGTTGGCACAGTAGCTCCTCAAATGGAGCCCAACAGAACCACGTGATTCCCTATGCCCGAGGAGGGTGGTGAGATGGCGGCATAGGAAAAGGCTGAGGGCAAATCTAGGGGGGGTAGAAGGAAAGGAGTGTCTATACATGCCTTGGTGGCAGTTGTTTCATAGCCGCTAGCAATGTGCAGTTAGAATAGGCCTTGTGTGTCAAGACATCTCGGTAGAAAACGGTGCATGCAACGAGAAAAATGGCCGGCAACAACGGTGGGCACGTTGGACACATGATGGGCGCTATTAGTGGGCGGGAAACACGACTGCTAGACTGGTACAAGCAACTTTATCATTGGTAGAGAGAGAAAGAAGCCCTCAAAGTTTACTCCCGCCACCTCGGTTTGTGTTTGGATTTTGGACTGCACCCAAAAACAGCGTCCCAACCTTTAAATATGGAGTCTACAATCCAGTTTCTGAATGAACTCCATAATTTTTAGAGATAGACATGGGTATAGAGATTCTGTTAGGATGAGTTTTCTCACCTCTATCCTCCACAATGACAGTTATTATGAAGAGAAGGAGTGTATGGCGAATATGGCAGAGCTCTAAGGAAACTCGTGCTTGTCGTTGAATTCCTTCCGTTTGATGCAATGCAGGCTGCTGCCACTCTCATCTAAAGCTAACTGAGATCACAGTCTAATGCCCATTAATAACACTTGCATTATATACTTGATGATTCCAACTCAAAAATATATATACTTGATGATCCAAAAAGCACACCAGACAAGAAAACATAGAGAGCATAATACTGCATTGCGTAGAGGAATTATCATCAAGGCAGTAAACATCCATAGTTATACTACCCCATCAAGCATCTTTGATATCCAAGACAAGATGTGAAGAAGAAGAAAACAGAGTGCGTGAATCCAAGTGGCTCTCAAGCAAAATCTCCAGCGAAACTACAATGCAACGTATAGTAAGTAACAGCAACTGCTCAGACCCTAAGACACGAATTCTGTCTCCGACAAAGAGCAAAAATAGCACTGTAAACCATCCCAGCTCAGTATCACCTTTCACTTCTTGATCAAAAATTCAAAACTGTAAGTGCACAGCTCACCCATCAGTCCTGGCCGGCCTCAAACATATCCAAGCGGCCGAAGCATCCTATGCAGCCGTTGACAGAGCCGTCGTCGTCCTCATTTCCGTTGCTGGGCTGCCCCACTTCGATGCTGACCTCGATTTCGTCAGCCCTGGCTTCAGCAGTAGCAGTGGGGTTGGCGCGGGCGCCCGCCTTGAACTGAACCACTATCACGCTCATATTGTCACTCATTCTCCGGCGGCCCAGGCATGAATCAAGAAGTCTCTCACAAATGGCACGCAGATCTATCTCCCCCTGCGTTCATCACACCATATGTCAATCCAACAGGAACAACAATTCCATCTGCAAATGGAAACCAGCCCATGCATACAACCACCGAATGTTACTATGTGGAGTCATTCCTTCAACAACGTTATGCTAACCGATAAAATTTCTTTCATCCGGTAGGATGTTTCTTTTAAATGTACTGTTAGCCTCATTGACAAGCAGAAAAAAGTTGAGGAAATAAGACTCACGGATTGCAAACGCTGCCTTACAAAATCAACCGCCTCTTGACTTGACTTGACATCCCTGGAGAAGAAGAAAAACAAGAGATGTGTAATTTTGTTATGGTAATATATAAACGAAATTACTCCCTCCGTTCCTAAATATAAGTCTTTTTAGACATTTCAAATGGACTACAACATACGGATGTAGGTAGACATATTTTAGAGTGAAGATTCACTCATTTTGCTCCGTATGTAGTCACTTGTTGGAATCTCTAGAAAGACTTATATTTGGGAATGGAGGGAGTATATTACTATGAAACATGAGAACAAAGATCTGTCTCTATGGGTACTAGCAGATTGTGGTGACTACTCTCTTATTAGTTTTAGCATCCATCCACGTGGACGGAAAACATGGCACAACTCCTATATTGGGACAAAATAAATGCTTCATCAAGCACTAAGGTTGTTAAGAAGAGCAATCAAACATGCTACTCCCTCCGTCCGAAAAAGCTTGTCCCTCAAATGAATGTATTTAGTCCCAAGTTAGTGCTAGATACATCCATTTGAGACACAAGGTTGGGACAAGTTTTTTCGGACGGAGGAAGTACCATTTCCAAATAGCAAATCAACATGATGGAACCATCAAATTTAATTCATCTATGCACTACAAAGCAATAATTAACCCAGGAATTGACAGATGTTGCCCTTTCAGTAACTTGAACTCAGAAAAAGAACTTAATAGCCCCCGGTTC